TAGTTCTAGTTATAGTTAGATATAACTATATATCTAAGTTATAGTTATAGGGGGGGTGATAGTTCATTTGAGTTACCCTCTTTACTTCGCTTTCAAATGGCTTGCAAAAGTGCCGTGCGCATTTTACTTTCACTTTCAAATTAGCGGCAATTGAATTGCCGCAATTCGGCGTCAAGCAATTGTTCGTTTGAGTTTTCCCTCTTTTCCTCGGATTTCTTGGCTTTCAAATAGCTTGAAAATGTGCCGTGCGTGTTTTACTTTCACTTTCAAATTAGTGGCAAATCGCCGTTGATTCAATGCAAGCAACAACAACGTCAACTCAGAACTTTTATTAACAAAACGAATAAAAATACACCATATATGTCTAATAAAATTCGGAATAAAACGCGGTTCGGCACGCTGCATTGAGCGTTAAGTTTTTAAAAGTGTCTGTCCTATGAACTAGGCTAAATTATTTTTGTTACTATAAAAAAATCAAAACGGTAGGCAAATGACGTAACCGGTGTTGCGGCTTAACACCGAAAACACCGTCTATCGCAGCAAGCCTATTGTATATTCTATAATGCTGAAAAGACAACCAATCTGTGTTATTTTAGTATCCTATTTGAATTATTCTTTATTTTTATAATTTCCATTTAAATTTTAAAATTTTAGTAATTTTGTTGTGCATTTATGTATGTAAAAATATGTTTTCATTGTTTTTAGAAATGTTCCTTGACAACTAGCTGGAATAAAATAAATTTATTTTTTGTTACTTAATTAGTTTTTATTACATTTTATGTGTTCTATTTTTTTTTACGGTTTTAGTTAACTATAATAACCCTGCTGTGAATTTATCCTTTGGATGGATTATATGACCCGCTTTCATTATTCACAAATCATATACAGCTCCATTGGAAACTACTGCCAGGTTTACATGATTTGAATTGGTTTTGAAAAGCGATCAAATATGACCAGAGGTAGCAGCTCCTCACCTCTAGTTCACACATATTGTAATAATGAGAATAATATGTGTCATTCTGTTAATGAGAGCGAGGAAGAGAAGCAAGGTTTTGTAGCGGCGATAGCCTTGAGTGTCTGTCTTCTTGACACAATGCCACAGCCTCTCATTTCAAAGTAACCCAATCCTGTCACTATCTGTCAACATAACAGTTCGCTCGCAACCTGACAGTGGCTTCCTGCTGTTCTGCAGCAGAGAAATGTGGAACGGTATTGTTCAGCATTATGCATTTTCTCCTCTCATTTTAATTTTGTGTATTGATCTAGTTGCTTCGTTTAAAAAAATCAGATGGAATAATCAGATACTGATGTTGGTTGTTTTCATTTGGAGTATTGCCTTTGGTTTTGTGTGCAGTTTAGTGGAAGTGATTGTTTAAATATTGGATGTCAACTGGATTGTATTTGAGTTTCTCAGTACTGGGTCAGCGGTCAGGGTGTTTGGCCCACGGCTTCTTTATATGACTCTCATTGGGCTGTTTACTCTAGTCAGGCTGGTGTTTGCACTATCTGCTCCTTTATCGCTCTCACCTTCAGCTAAACACTGCCCCTGTAGTATAAAATCATTTTACAGTTTGTGATGAATAAACATACTATAATGATTTATAGTAAAACCACAGTGGCATGCTTTAAATCTAGGTGCTTTTTTTCAGTTTGAGGTTATTCCCAGTACTTTTCCAAAGCACAATGAATACTCTGTCATCATTTACTCACCCTCAAGTAAATTCAATCCATATGGCACTCTTTCTTCTATGCAACACAAAAGGAGATAGTTAGCAAAATGACTGACCAAAAAATAAAAAAAAATCTTCCAATTGGCTCATGTCTTTTGAAGTAACATGATATTTTATTGTGAGAAACTTATCGCTCTCACCTTCAGCTAAACACTGCCCCTGTAGTATAAAATCATTTTACAGTTTGTGATGAATAAACATACTATAATGATTTATAGTAAAACCACAGTGGCATGCTTTAAATCTAGGTGCTTTTTTTCAGTTTGAGTTCCTTCCCAGTACTTTTCCAAAGCACAATGAATACTCTGTCATCATTTACTCACCCTCAAGTAAATTCAATCCATATGGCACTCTTTCTTCTATGCAACACAAAAGGAGATAGTTAGCAAAATGTATGACCAAAAAATAAAAAAAAATCTTCCAATTGGCTCATGTCTTTTGAAGTAACATGATATTTTATTGTGAGAAACAGGCTAGAACTTAAATATTTGACTGAACAAAAAAAGTGGTAAAATCTTTTTTCTCAAGTTTGGTTACGAGACAAGCAAGAACCAACTGTGTTCAGCACCACTGACGTCAAACCATATATGAATTAGGGAATGTGACTGTGATTGGGAGCTGAAGTAGACAAGAATATTTCACACGAAGCAAACATATGACGTCAGAAGACTTACCGTTAAATAAACCATGTTATTATATAAGAATAATAAACTTTAAAAGAATATACTTAAATGTGAACCTAATGCAATGCTTTCAGACACTAATTGCATGCTATTTACAATTAAATGTAAATAGTATTATAGTTTATTAAATATAAATGCAATTAGTTGAGTGTTTTGACCCATTTACTGTAAGTAGGACTTAAGTACATATTTATATGTAATTTCATATTTACTTATTTGTCCTTGAATTATAGGTAAAATGTTTTGCTGAATGTACTGTGAAACATTTATGGTAAACTAAAATATAGTTTACTGCCATTTCTGTTGAAACTTGTATGTATTTAAATATATTTTACTTTACTTTACTTTACTTTTAGTCATTTAGCAGACGCTTTTATCCAAAGCGACTTACAAATAAGAAAAAGTAATTAAAACTAAAAGCTAAAACTCTATAAATACTATATATATACACACATTTAAGAAAATAAAAGAAATTAAATAAAAATGACAAATGCATACAACAACATTTCAAAACTAAAACATTTAAATGAAAACAAAAAAATAAAGCTAAAAACAATTCAAAAATATTAAAAGAACAACACATTTGTAATGACACACTACATTTAAAATTATAATCAAGTACTTTACATGTACTTTATTATGTTAGTCAACACATCAAAATAATAATTTAAATAATTAATACATAATGTCAAATAAAAAGTTTTACTTTAAAGTTATTACAAGTGCACTTTTTAAAGGTGTACTTAAAGTGTGTTAAGCAGTCATGAAAGTGTCTCTGTTTAAGTGCATTTAATGGGCCTTTTGTGTCATTAATATTATATTTGCTGCAAGTACAGTCTTTTAAAAATATACTTTTATTTTAAAGATACATTTTAACTTTAAAGTATACACTACAAGTGCACATTAAATACAATAAAACACACTTCTTTTTCACAAGGATATAGTCACATGGGCTACCATTATTATTACATTATTATAGTGCTTTTTATGATGCTTTTTATTACTAAGTCCCTATTGCCATTTATTTTCACTGAATAAAAAAGTAGCATGAATACTTTGCTGAATCTGTCTGTGTGAGAAAGGTCATTTGGGTTTGGCAAAACCTTAAAATGTTTTTGTGAACAGTTCTGCAACATGCTCTGCCAAAACTAAACAAAACAATATTAACTCTTTCCCCGAGTTATCTCGTCTTTTACAAGAAAACGCTTCCCCGCCAAAGACGAGTTTTTACGACTTTTCGTGTTTTCACTGTTATACACTCGGGGGCGCTATTACGCATCTTCTGAACGAGTACAAAACCTCCCGAACAAAAACACACGTGAACAGGACGGAGAAACGAGCGATCTCTATGTAAACCGATGCATATGAAAAATAATACGATCATCAGCAATAGACAGCATATAAATGAAAACTGCATAATGTTACAGAGTAAAATGTTGATCCAGGAAGTGGTACATGTCTGTGCAAGCTTTGGAGGTGTTGATGGAAGCGATTTACTGGATTTATGTAGTACCAGATGTAGTTTTTGATAAAAAATTAGATTTTCTCACCTTTTTGCTCAAAGTAATGCATTTTTTATGAAACAAGTGTTGATAAAAAAAAGAATGCTTTAAGCTAGAATAAAACTTTTTTTGTTTAAAAGTAGAGGCTCTGATCTTTATTTTGGTGTATTGCATATTCAAATATTCATACAGCAAAATATACTGGAGGCCATCAAATTTTAGTGAAAATCATCAAAATCGCTGGCGGTGGCTGGCAACTTTTTTTTTTTAATGCTGGCGGGGAAACAGTTAAGACAATACTGAAACTGATAGAAAGAATCAATTAAATCTGGATTTTTGTTTTCAGTTCATTCAGTAGTTCATTCAGAAATCCCAGTTCAGTGTGTAATTTCAGTGTGCATTGAGATGAGTACGTTATGCATGTGTGTGCACTCGCTCACAATTACTGTGCTTCATTTTTTTGTTGCTGATTCATCTGTGTGTTCGGTGGTGCATTTTGCTGTGTCTCGCGTACAAATGTGTCTGTGGCTTCGCATGCATTTTTAAAAATACCTTTGTGTTGAACAACTTTACAACTTCAGTCACCAGTGTCCTAGTTACCTGGCATCCTATCACCTTACTCCTATCTGTAGGCTGAGAGCAGCTGTACGTGCCAGAAGACTGAGATGCAGAGCATTGTGGGAACTGCAACCTCAGGAACATGACCAACCCACAATTCCTTGTTGTTGGATAACCAGACAGTACTCAGGAGAGAGTTCCTGGCATCTTTAACAAACACACACACACACACACAGGTCATTTCCATAGTCTGAGTGTTTATGCTTGCGCTTGTGTTTGTGTGCGTGAGACCGTCTCGGACCTACGGGGAGTCCTGGAGTACTGTTACACCGATAGCCGCCCCTTATGCATGTTTCATCTGCTGGGAGGAGAAAAGAGCCTTCCTTTGTCATCTAATAAGGCTGTAGGCCACACACGCTCCCGTCATTTTCACTCACCTCCACAAGATCGTCCACCCAAACACCATCAAGTGCTCTTTGTTGGGTAATTGTGCAGCTAAAACAAGAAGAAAGAGCTCAATCGATCGTCAAGAAAGGACTCTTCAAAGAGGAGTAGATGATCGACTTTTGATCGAAGTGCCCTGGCATTAGGCAATTCTTGGAGGACTCAAGATCAACTTAACACCTCAGTTTCCTCTCAGTTGGCCTCTCACCTTCCCTGGAAGCGGGGAAGTAACTGAGGCGTCTCCGTTTAGCATCTTACCGGTGATCATAGAGGCAGGGGTGGTGAGCTCGGAGCATGACGGACACGCTTCGGCCGCCTTCGCTCCAGGTGCACGTCCCCCGGGATGATCCCAGCCACGGAGAGGAGGATGGTGGCGGGAGCGGAGGCGGTCCCGACAGCCTCATCTGGTCCAGCTCGTCCACCCCCACCCTGCGGCGCCGACGCTTTAAGATGAGACGAATGAAGAAGCTGCCCAGCGAGCGGGAGCAGATTGAGAACGGGCTGCTGCGGCACCCCGAATCACGCTCGGATTCAAAAGAGTACCTCCAGCTGCCCTCCATCGAGATCACGCCATCCAGTGACGAGGACGCGGCCTGGTCAAACAGCTCCACCCCGAGCGCCTCGCCCCGGCGCAAACGATTCCTGCTTCGCAAGTGGCTGAAGGTGCGAGAGAGGAAGGAGCAAGGCAGTGAGAGCAGGTTGGTGCTTCAGACATGCTGTTTAGTAGGCCTATGTCACAACTGGTGATTTCTAGCAACAACTCCTCCTATTTTAGGACAGTTTGACTGACATTAAATGTTTGGAAGATACCAGTTAGCTTTTAGTATTTTATTCTGTAGGAATTGGCTTAGCTCTAGTAGAGTGCAGAGATTACGTACTTTTGTAGGCCACCCCGAAAGTTTGCATTACCCTGATTCTTTCGACAAAAATCAAATTTTTCAATTAGCTTTTGGATAATTACAGGAATAAGCTCTTCTACCAACTTCTAATTTAAGTGAACTTAAAACAATCTTCTCATAAATCCATTATAATAAATGTCATACTTACCTGTGCCCTTCAGCATGTAGGAAATATATATAAACTGAATAAAGTTATCAACACGAAATTCTAAATTAAATATAGATGAATCTTTAAAGCTACAAAAGTTATTGATTTCCTCTTTTTTTCTTTTGTTCTTTAATGAACAGACATCACAGCAGCTGGGTTATTAGGTTATGTGGCTGCTGTTACTTTAAGAGCTGCAGCTGCTGAATGTGACGCGGATCTGACATGCGTGCTCGTAGATTCATTCGCGCTTTAATATGAAATGATACAGGCTACAGCGCGCGCTGCTGTATTTGTGCGTGCAATTGAAGAGTATGCGCTACGAGCCCAGTATAGCGGCTGACAGGACAGGAAAATGAATTTTTACTGACATATGGCCTGACATCATCTCATCTGACTGCAGTTCACTAATGTTCTACTGAAGCTTCTTTGTCACCTGTACTGTTTCCAAGCTTGTTTGACTAGCACCTGGCAAATAAATGCAATTCTTGTCAAGAAAAAAGAGACAGAAACAGCAGTTGTGAGTGGGTGGCCAACCCTAGTTTTGCTCCTGCGTTAACGGCTTTAAATATTTTTAACGCCTTTAAACTGGAAAACTTAATGGCCTGTGTTAACGTGCTAATTTTGACAGCACTAATAATAATGTATCATATACAACCATATACATATACAACCTGCAATGCCTGCCCAAATAAGAAAGCAATGTTAGTGAGATTAATTTTGGGGGCTCATAAGAAGCATTCAGGCAGGATAGAGTACTAGCTACAGGGATGCCATCTTTAACAATCATATATAGTGTGCACTGATAGTGATATCTCAAATAGCACACAAATAGCACCAGCTGGGAAAGAGAGACAGTGGAGTTACAGTAGTAGAGTATCTGCCTCTCTTGATGCTTTGACAGTAATTTGCACTGGGAGTTTGAGAAGCCACAAAAACTGATTCGGCTGGGATATTAAAAACAATATTTGTTTGCCTCTGATGATTATCAGGTTTCATATGCAAGCTCTGTGCCACAGTTATACTGTATTGTAGGTTCAGTTCTAGGCAGAACGCGAGTCCTTGAGCAATGCAGTTATATCCGAGGTCTCCGGCATGCTGTGCTGTAGGTTGCTTTGAACAAAATAGGACTGCTAAAGGGAAACTAATAAATGTTTCTTTACAGGAGAGCCCGTAATGTAATTTAATGGTACCAATTGAATTTTGTGTCTCATTTAAAACAATGTGAGGAAAATAAATTGAATTACAAAGTCTGTGTTGCCTGTATGAAGGAGATGTCCCTTTAAAGCTCATGCGGTTGTAGACCAGGTTTTCTTAAAGTGTAGGAGAAAATGTGAAAGAAGGAAGTCAGAGAAAGTGTGGTTTAGAGAAGGTCTATAGCAGTGGTGTTGCATTTGGATGATTTCAGTGCAGACAGCTTTGTTGATTATAATGGGAGCAATTTATTTTTGATGTATCATGCGTACAGTGTAGGTGCGGTGAAACTTGGTGCATTAAATGTAGAATTCAACAGATGTGCAAATCTACATATAGAAATTAATTAACAATGCCTTCAGTTTGTAACATAGGAGGCATGACGATGGAGTGGGGATCCATTTGCAGGCTTTATTAAAAGAGAGCGTGGTCAAAACAGGCAGGGTCTAGAAACAGTAACAGCAGAAACAAAGGAAAAGAGTAATCCAGATAAACAAGCAATGGTCAGGGCAGGCAGCAAACGATCAAAAACAAGGAAAGAGTCCAGGATCAAAACACAACATGCTAAACATTCAATCACCTGTAAAGTCAGAGCGTGGGTGTGCTACTTTTAAAGTCCTTCTAATGTGGGACAGCTGTGAACTGATGATGAGATCTGATGAAAGACAGGTGATTGCAAAATTGATGATGTGTCCAGGCAGAGGATTATGGGAAATGGAGTCGAGGGTGAGTGGTAAAGGGTACAGGATGGGGTGCCCTCTAGCGGAGCTCATGGGCACTCCAGCTAGAGATCGTGACAGAGCTATTATGCAACTTTTATTTTATTTAGCTGTTTTTGGGTTATGTACATTTGTTGTTGTTTTGTGTTTGTTAATTATAGCAGATATGTGCAAAGTTCAAGTCAAGACCACCAGACAAAGCCTCACGGTTTCATATTAACCAGATGATGCAAGATCAGATCATGTTAATATGGTTGAACACTGGAAACACGAGACTCAGCATTGTGCTCACTGACCTTTAGACTGTGAAGCTCGAGGAAAACTACATCAACACAACCCATTATTCTTATTTCATTTTCATGTTTTTGTTCTTTATATATATATATATTTTTTTTTTCTGTTCACTGTTGGAGAGGCACATATCATCCACAATAATATACCCAACCAGAATGCTCTCGCATCAATGTTTTATTCCATTTTTAAAGCAGGACATAGACATGTGATTTGAAAGGCACTGAATGGCAGATGCACAGCTGTACATATACTGTAATACCTGCTCATTTTTAATCTCTTCTGTCAATTATTGATGCAAAATGCAAGTTATTAATCATTAGAGGTTTTAAGACTGATTTGAGTATATTCTTTTGAATTGAGGGTTCCTGTAGCACAAACGCTGGTCCTAGAATATGCGTTGAGTGCTAAAATGTGTTTCATAAATGCATTGTATGCCGCTTCAGATAAAACCATCTTCCATATGTAAATCATTGAATTACTGTAAAGCAACACACACATTGTGCACTTAAAATGATCTGAGAAAATCACACTCTTCCAACAAAGCGTTACATAAATAACAGTCCAGATAACAGGTTGGTCCTGTTTATGTCAGTTGTTCGTTTTTCCATACGGTGTGTTGTTGTTGTGTTTTTAGCAAATACGGTATTACTCATAATTCTTTATGTCAGCGTCAGTGTTTCATTTTTATGTGTTTATTAGCATTTTTTATTTTGTACATTAGGTCATGTGTCATTTCTCTCACTACAGTGAAGCTACAGGTCCATATAGAATATAGATTTTGCAGTTTGACGCAGCATGAATTACACTTAAAGAGATAGTTCACCTAAAAATGAAACTTCTGTCATCATTCACTCACGCTAAAGTAGTTCTAAATCTGTATTAGTTTATTTCTTCTGCTAAACACAAAATAAGATATTTTCAAGAATGTTGCCAATTCTACAGCATTTTGACTTTATACTACTCTGAAATCAATGGCTACCAGCAACTGCGAGTCAGTGACAGAATTTTCATTTTTGGGTGCAACATTGCAGATTTTATGGCACCCATGTTGAAACCATCTGTGAATGCTCTCTAGAGTTTTAGCCACAGTTAAAGCATGTCAACATATTCTGTTACACCAAATACACAAAATAATGATCTTTAAAATAGCATCATATGACCCCTTTAAGCAATTTCCAAGCAGTCCACCTGTCTAAATCAAAAGCGTAATGTGTCAATATCTCTATTCTTTTTAAAACACAGAGTATGTGGTGAATTTATGTAGCTTAATTTTGAACATAGACGGCAGGTTAATAGTTAAACAGATTGCTATGTATACTGATATTTTCCTCTGTGAAGTGTCAGTTGTGCTTAAAAAAACTCAGAAGCTGCCGTGATGCCAAATAAGACCACATTCATTATCCATCCAGCAGAAAGGTGGGAACAAAATTAGGTGTCTAAGATTTAGTTTGTCAGTAACTGAGACTTGATGTTTAGCAGCTGGTATTTCAGATTGTTTACTCATGCAGCATCATGCAAAAAGTAGCCTTTTAAGCTCAAATTCTGCAACATTTATTATGTGTTACCAGATCTATTGCATGATTTAAGAAGACTTGAAATGTAGCATATGAGACACATTGATGGTGCTTTTGCATGCACTTTAAAGCTTGATAGTCCCTGTTTATTGTAACAACAGAAAACTAAGACAAGCACATCTTTTGGAGCAATACTGAATGTATGTTCGGTTTAGTTTGCAGCCACTATAGGCACAAAAGTTAAGGTATTCCTTCTCGTATCTCACTTGCTTTCCTCATCTTTGTGTGCTATTCGGTAACATCTGAGACTGGGTTCAGTAAGGTCTCTTATCTGGGCTTGTGAGCGCTATGTCTCGTCTCGTAGGGTTTCTCGTGCTGCTGAGATGCATCCAGACCTTTCACAGTCTGCTTTTCTCTGATAAGAGCTTCTGGTGCTATTTTAAGACATGGGGAACTTATAAGTGTGCACCTTCCAGCTTAGAGACTCTGTGGATGTTGTTAATATTTCAGATGTAAGAGTTGTTTTTTCCCTGTAGGAGGGGAGGAGGTGTAAAATTGTTCTCATAATGCAAGGTTAAAGTCTGTGGGAAAGCCCTAAACTGAGTAGTCTGCTTGTTTAGTGAGCATCTGATTGGAAGAGCTGGATGATGAATTTATATTTATTTAGATACATAAATCTATTCACTATCATTCAAAGTTTTGGGTCAGTAATATTTTCTCTCTTATGTGTACCAAGGCTGCATTTATTTGATCAAAAATACAGTAAAATAGTACAATTGTAGAATATTATTACAATTTAAAATAGGTGTTTTCCATTTGATTATGTTTTAAAATGTAATTTAGTCCTGTGATCAAAGCTGAATTTTCAGCATCATTACTCCAGCCTTCAGTGTCACATGATCATTCAGAAATCATTCTAATATATTGATTTGCTGCTCGAGAAACATTTATTTTTATTATTAATGTTGAAAGCAGTTTTTGCTGCTTTATATTTTCATGGAAACCGTGATACTCTATTCAGGATTCTTTGATACATTTTCAGAATTCTTTGATTTTCATCAGGATTCTTGGATGAAAATGGATAGAAAGGTCACAAAAAATATTTAATTTAAAATAACCATCACTTTTAAAGGGGTCATATGATGCGATTTTTCCAACTTTGCAAGGACAGTCTGGCTTCTGACTCACAGCCTGTAAGGTACGTTTTCATATTTAAAGAATTTGCCACTGACGATTCAAACGCGAGTTTTGAGCAGTGTAGAGTAGCGCTTGTTGTTTGTCGTTTCTCTGATCACAAATGCAGACATGGTTTTATGTTTACGCGGCGCGATATGCAATGCAATGCTTAAAAAGACAATATAAGTCATTATAATAAAAGTCTTAGATCTTTGAGTTCAGCTCATGAAAAATGGGAGCAAAAACAAAAGCATTGCGTTTATAATTTTGTTCAATGTATGTCCCCACTGGATGCAACAAATGCCTTGTTTGTAATGGGTTTTATTGTTTTCGTCTCGGCATCACAGTATGGTAAGGGCTGTAACATTTCCGTCACACACTTGAGGAATTCGGCCAATCACAACTCACTGGATAGCTGGCCAATCAGAGCACATCTCGCTTTTCAGACCAATGAGCTTTGTAAAAATCAAAGGCGGGGCATAGAGGGGCAACAATAATGTACATTATGTGGAAAATAATGTGTTTTTTTAACCTTAAACCACATAAGCACATTGCATTACACCAAATACACAAAATAATGTTCTTTTTAGCAACATCATATGATCCCTTTAACATTATAAATGTATTTTATTGTCACTTATTATTTTGTTTACTCGTAGATTTTAGTGCTGACCATTTGATTGAAGAGCTTTTTGTGCCCATTCAATGTATGATTTTACTACTACATGTTTGTGGCATAACAATACCTGTCATTTCAGCCGGAACTGACAGTTTTCATTGTTTATTTTTGGCTTGGAGAGTGACATGATGGCAGTGTAATAGTGACACACTGATTTCAAAACAGAATGATTGACAATTGAAGCGCACCAGAGAGCGAGCACAGCAGTTTATAGTGCAACTATAGCGCCTCATACACCTGGACCTATCGTGCTGTATGTCCGTTGTATAAAGGGCCTGATAAAGATGCAAAAAAAAAAAAAATATATATATAAATCCAGCACACTACTCAAACTTGCAAATATATATATATATATATATATATATATACAGTATATTAGCTTAGTAACAGTTTGGTCAATAGACTTTCCTCAGGCTTACAAAACATGCAAAAGAATTCAAAATGAGAAAAAGAAAATCATTCTTATTACAAATAATCAAAAAGAAAGATAATCAAATAAGAATGATCATGATTGAATGATTTGAACAAGCTCGCTGTAGACCAGCAGGTTCCTAGTCTGACGTCAGCCTGTGCCGCTGGCCTAAAAAAGCACTGGGGTTTTGTTTCAGCAGCAGTTAAAACACACAAAAGCGTCAGACAGGCGACTGTCATGAATGATTCAGAAGCGTTCTAGGCCACGTCGAGCCTCAATACACTCTACGTAAAGACCCATTCTGAGAAAAGTCCAGACCCTCGGGCATGTGCGCATAAACTCGCATTCAGACGCAGGCTAAATCACCAGTGTTTAAGCAAACAAGATTCGCCCACACGGGTCAAATGCTGTCAGACCAACTGACCATAAATGAGAAATGTGCCTGCATAGTTTGAATTGCAGATATGAGTTTCCTGTTGGTGTGTAGCCCATAGTCACCGCAAGCAAATACCAGCACGCACCTGAGCGTGTCTCCCATAAATCCCTGCAGCTGATGGAATGAGGAGATCCAGCATGCCCAATGGGATTGTTTTGCATGTCATACTAGAATAGACAATCAGTTACTTTTTACTGCTTCAAATTGCATCACAATGTCCACATATTGTACATTTAAAGATGAAGTTAAAATCTGATTACGGAAACACTGATACAGAGAAAAAGCTAAGTGAAACGGTACTGGTTTAATTACATTTAGTGTAAATGTGAAATGTGTCGATGTTATCTAAAGAGAAGGAACAATACTAATCTAATAGCAACCAAATAGCAGGTGAGCTGTTGGATTTATAGCAAATGAGAAGATAAAGAGAATAAGAAATGAATGATTCACTGGATATTTTTAATCTAAATTGCATGATATTGAAATGAAATGCCCATTACTTCAGCATTGGTTTCAGAAACCTTAATAAAGCATGCCAGTGTTTTTTCAGTAGCCAGCACTTGTTAAACTCCACATGTGGCTCGGTTACGCCTGGGATTGTGTGCTTTTAATGGTGTATGAGTATGACTGCACCCTCTTGTGGAGAAATCATAGGAACATAATTATCGAAGAGAAAATACCACATGCAACTGACCGCTATTATAAAACAGCCAACTTTTATAGCTATTTTATAACACATATTACAAAATGTTATGGTTTGTATTTATAGACTCTTCGCATGAAACTACCATTCTAAAGTCTGGGGTCAGTAAGATTTTTTTATATGTATTTTTTAAATCAATTAATACTTTTATTCAGCAAGGACAAGTTAAATTGATCAAAAGTGACAGTAAAGATATTTGTTATGTTACAAAATGTTCTTCTGAACTTTCTGTTTCTCAAAAAATCCTGGAAAAAATGTATGATGGTGTGTCATTGTGTATCATTCCAAAAATAATGCCTGTTTTGCTCGAGCTCGTCCCACTTTCTAATAAAATATGATGTGCATTTTGTCGAATTTTTGCTAGGTGAAGAAGTCTTCTTTAATCAGCAGAAAAACTGCCAGAAAAGACATGATTCATGTCTACCTCTGAGCCAGATTACAATTATTTGTTCAGTTCTCAAACCGGTTTCACATGTATGAATGTTTCTGAAGGCATTAATATTTTATGGATGATCCTGGTTACCACTTTTTCCACTCCTTTGCAGATTGTAAGTTAGATGGTACATTTTGAATTGGGTGCATTTTACATGCTTATTTTTGTCATCAAAACAAATCGTTTGACATTTGAATGCTTTTGTTGTTTTGATAAGTATATTAAAATTGGTACATACTGTACAATACAAAAGATAATGTACTGGTAATCCATTAATTTTATGGACATTTCCATTAACTCTAAAGCACAAAACACCTGTAAAAATCAATACAGAAAATTATTTCATATTAAAATAGTACATTGTGCCATATTTATACATATTTTTTGCATACATATATTTGAAAAATCTTCATTCTTATTTTATGCACAACTGAACGTTTTTCTGACATTTTTGAACTCAGCATCATGAAATTAAGTAATTTTAAAACTTTTTTCAAGGTGCTGGATTGTGTAATAATCAGAAATGTTTCTTGAGCAGCAAATCAGCATATTAGAATGATTTCTGAAGGATCATGTGACACTGAAGACTGGAGTAATGATGCTGAAAAGTACATTGTGCCATATTTATACATATTTTTTGCATACATATATTTGAAAAATCTTCATTCTTATTTTATGCACAACTGAACGTTTTTCTGACATTTTTGAACTCAGCATCATGAAATTAAGTAATTTTAAAACTTTTTTCAAGGTGCTGGATTGTGTAATAATCAGAAATGTTTCTTGAGCAGCAAATCAGCATATTAGAATGATTTCTGAAGGATCATGTGACACTGAAGACTGGAGTAATGATGCTGAAAATTCAGCTTTGCATCACAGCAATAAATTACATTTTAAAATATATTGAAACAAAAAACAGTAAAACAGTAGAAAACTTATCATATAAATTCTGCCTTGGTGAACACACTGAAAAAAAAGATACTTAATTGCACCAAATACACAAAATAATGTTCTTTTTAGCAGCATCATATGACCCCTTTAAAAAAATTGAGTAAATTCAATGAATTTTTTTTTTCAGTGCATATGAGACTTCTTTCAAAAACCTACCCCAAAGAGTAGTGTAGTTAGACATGTGTTTAAAGTTGTCACGACAGGTTGCTTGACCTTTATCAATATGACTCTTTTGCAGCAGTCAGCAGAGTAGTCAACAGAGCAGCCAGCAGAGCAGCCATGACGACGATTCCAGCCGCTTCCTGACTCCCTTCATCCGCGAGGACAGGTGAGTACACTGTGTGTCTGCATCTACTGTACTTATCAGAAACATCAATAGTTAACGTCAGTTTTAATAAATGAATTGATGTGCAGAGATAATCCTTACATAATGCGTTCCACTGATGTTCAACTCAGCAACTTTAACAAGCATCAAAGGCATTGAAACGTATTTAAACAGCCAACACTCTTAAAAATAAAGGTGCTTCACGATGCCATAGAAGAACCTTTTTTGTCTAAATGGTTCCATAAAGAACCTTTAACATCTGAAGAACCTTTCTGTTTCACAAACGGTTCTTTGTGGCAAAAGAAGGTTCTTCAGATTATAAAAAGGTAAGAAAGAGATGGTTCTTTAAAGAACCTTTGACTGAATGGTTCTTCTATGGCATCGCTGTGACGACCTTTTAAGCACCTTTTTAAGCTTGATCTGATAATAATAAAAGTATAAAGTTTTAAGCTGGCTGGCTGAATGTGAATCTAGTGATTCAGATATCTGCTCTGAAATGCCGTTTAGAACAGGACTTTAAACCTCTAATTTCATTCAATAGACAGCAGTTTGTGGATTCATCTGTCATGATCTCTTTGTTTCAAAATGTTCCTTATATTTACATTTATACATTTAGCAGACACGTGTGTCCAGAAAATAAGTCGCACCGGGTCATTTTTGAGAGAGAAACAGTTGCATTACTAATACAGATGCATAAGCTGCATTGCTGTTAAAGTCATATTTTATTTCTGCATTGAAAGATAAAGTAAAATGCAAAGAAAGAAAGAAAGAAAGAAAAACATTTGCATTATTCATGGGAGAGCAGAAATCAAACATAAGTATAAAACAAACATGAATTATAGTGGCATATATACTGTATATATATATATATATATATATATAAGAGATAGATAAACAGACAGACAGACAGACAGACAGATAGATAGATAGATAGA